CATTTCCCCCAGCCACAAGGTATCATTGAAGATGGATGGAATGAATTTTGGGCTATATTTAGGTTGAAGATGGCTGGGGGTTTGTTTTCCCTTCCGTCTCCTTCAGAAGAGCGTGGAGCACTGTTCCAAAGTGCTCCAAAACCAAAGCTATCTCCATATAGCGAGAGCAACGGTGGAGCTGTCCGGGAGGACAGCGGGGGAACTGCCCCAAAGTGGAGAAAGAGGGGAAAGAACCCTTCAAAATTAATAGCTGCTTCAGCTCTAGAGGACAGGCTGCAAAAATGGGGTCAGGCTAAGGCAAAAAGTGGGCAAATGAATCCCAACGCATCGCTACCACCGACAGTGACCCATACCCGTGCTCTGAGGCAGCTCTGCTTCTGCTGCTCTACTGCAACGAGCATCCAAGGGAGTGAAGGTCCCCAGTGGTGTCTGCGATGCTCAGGCCCACTTACATGGCTGCACACCAGCATCACCCCACACTTCCCTGAGCTCAGTCAGCAGAGCAGCCCTCATCACCCAAAGCTGGAAGCTGCAACACCTACTCACAGGCTTAATATGATTTTCCCAGATATGGCTTTACATTCTCCAGCTCCTTGGAAGTAGACTAGTGTGATTTTCCTTGGAGCTTTGTTTGTTTGTTTTAAATATACTGGCTCTTCAGAAGAATTGAGTTTCCCCTGGTATTTTATTGGCAACTGAGGTTTTGAAGCAAGGACATTCCAACGAGTGCCAAGCACCCACAGCACCAAGGCTCACAGTAGCAGTATTGGGTACAAATCCATAGGAGAGACAGAGCTGCTGACTGCTGATCTCTTTCCACTTGTCTCCTGCCCTGATGTATGGACTGTGCTGCACATTCTTGTCTCTTCTGTGAGACAGCAGAAGTCTCAATCAAATCTTTTCTATCACAAATGGGGGAGCATTATGCCATTTTTCCTGCTGTTTTAGCAATTTTGGCTTCAGGAGATCATCACCTGATCACTGGTGGCATCAGCTGTAGTCCAAATACTGCTGTCCTCTTTTCTTAAACAGTGGCATTAAGGTGGTTTTGTCCCAGAGACACCAGGAGGGATGCACACACCCCTTGGCACCATTAACATCATTCACAGCTTTATATCTCAGGGAATATTTTTATAAACCCACAGTATCTCAATCGAGCATGTAACTCTGTGCATGGTAAGTCTGACGTAACTAAGTCTGAAATAAGTCCTATTAAATAAAACTGTTGCTCATCAGCAGTCGAAAGATTATCTGGGGGGAAACATTTAGACAATGCAAGCAAGGAGACCCTCCAGAAAAGAAATATTCTTGTTTCACAATATTTTGAGGAATCCTAGTGCAAACAGCAAGGTTTTCACTTAGCCATGGCAGGGTTAGTTTTGGAGAAGGAGAAGGGTTAGGTTTTTTTATTGTGCTTTTGGGAGACTGATTTAGGAAGCAGAAATGCAGCAGATGGCAAGAGGCCGAGAAGGCCATCAAGATCAGAATCATTGTGTTGAGGTTATATTTATATTTCACGAGCATGTGGGTTTTTTCCACTAGGACCTTTTTAAATTTATTAATACAGAGAGGGCTGGAGCACCTTTCCTATGAGGACAGGCTGAAAGAGTTGGGGCTGTTCAGCCTGGAGAAGAGGAGGCTCCGGGGTGACCGTATAGCGGTCTTCCAGTACCTCAAGGGGGCCTACAGGAAAGATGGGGAGAGGCTGTTCAGGAGGGCCAGTTATGATAGGACAAGGGGTAATGGTTTTAAAATAGAGGGAGGTAGATTCAGGTTGGATATTAGGAAAAAATTTTTTACCATGAGAGTGGTAGAACACTGGAACAGGTTGCCCAGAGAGGTGGTGGATGCTCCATCCCTGGAGACGTTCAAGGCCAGGTTGGACAAGGCCCTGAGCAACCTGATCTAGTTGGAGATATCCCTGTTCCTTGCAGGGGGGTTGGACTAGATGCCCTTTGAAGGTCCCTTCCAGCCCTAACCATTCTATGATTCTATGATTCTATGATCCCCTCTCCCATCACCTTCTGTGCAGAGCAGTTATGATGTACATAAACTCCTGCACTGCCCATGGTTGAACCTTGACACGTGGTCAAGTCTCATGCAGCTCCATCCCTTACTGTTGTTTGAAAGTCACTCCTGATCTCTCTTCTCCTCTGCCTTCTGAAATTCTCTTGGCACGCCTACATTTAGCTCCCAGGGTTGCCCTAAGGACTTTCCTCATTATTTCTACTCGGTTCATGGTCTGATGGAAAGGAAGGCACAGTACAACACACAGACACTTGACTAGTATGTGAGCTTTGACACATGACACTACGGTCTTGACACATGACACTACAAGATGCTCCACCTGGTTTTCATAGGGAACAGCTAAAATATAATGAACGTTTTGCAGAATGGAAACCCAATCACAAAACTCTACTAATACTCTGTGTTTTCAGTTGATGTTTCCAGAAGAAAAATGATTTCAAGTTGGACTGAAATGACAAGTCATTTTGGAGTGGCAGAAAGCATATTGTTTGGGAGCCAAATAGAGAACCGAATTGCTGACCTTTTACAATATCTAACTATCCTGGTAATGAAAGTTCAGTTAAAATAGAAATCAACAATTATTTTCAGCTAAATTGGCAAAGCCTTTCACTAAAAAGATATGTATTCCAATATCAGAAAAATGAGGCAAAGTCTTCGCAG